TTCTACCGTTTTTGTTTTTTTTAAACATTTTTCAAGCGTTTCTTTCGATGGTTTTTTGACGATTTTAAGAGTTTTTTTTTTGTGGATTTTAAATGTAACAAGTCTCGAGCCCTAATTATTATTGTGGACTGCTGTGAAAGTTATAGCTGTTTAAATACATTCAAAGAACGATCGTCATCAGGTATACCCATGTAGAGTTTTTAACAATACATTACATATTGAGGAATAACAGTTTAATTGGTATTAATTCTCCTTTGCAGTGATGCTGAGTAGTGAGTAGGTAGGTATGTGTTCCGTAAACAGACAAACGTTCGACTTTTGTAAGATTTCGTCTTGTTTTAATTGAATATTACATCATCAGTCGACACTCATTACGTTTAAAATTAAACAATTAATTATAAATCCATAGCTGGAAAATAATGCCCGTATAGATAGATAGTATCTACTTGTATATTTTAACGTGACAAACAATTCGTATAAATGTTAACTGTACCGTGAAATAATAATTATCAACGAAAATACGACGAACGAATTCGTTCTGTAAAATAATAGGTCGGACACCCATATTTTAATCTGTATATTATAGATCGAACGAAATTTTACCCTAATCGCCATAAGTACAAACGCATATTTTTTTGGTCATTTTTTTTTCAGATACAAAAAATTAAAAAAAAACATACATTATACCGTAACGTCGCTGCGCTCCGAATCTAAAAACAAACGCGATGCTTCACGCGATGGGTGGGCCACCGTCGTAGGATGGAATTGGGAAAGGCAGATGGGAAATTCAATATATATCTGTACGCAACGAGTTATCATTGCTAAAGAAAAACGATTCTGAAGGGGGTTCGGTTGTACATGTTTTAAAAAGTCGTAATATTAACGATTCGAAAATAATACATTTCGTAAATTTTCTTTGGAAAATCAAAACAATAACTTCTTTAAAATACCATCCAAATAAAAATTTCTTTCAGAAAAATTGCTACAGTTAAAACTGGAACAAGATTTCCGGTAGAAAAGTTTTTAACAGAAAAAAAAATCAACATCATTGTATATTCGATACATTCCCCGTTCCGCTTAGAATTTAAAAAAAAAAAAAAAAACCGACACAAATATTTCAAACATTGATGTTGCGTATTTATACGATTTGCTCGCAGTCTTCTCGAGTGACGTTGTCAACCGCACAGTCGAACAATTATTATATAAATGTCTGTATATATTTTAGTTTTATATGCGAGTTACCGGTGGACGGAGGTATAGGAAACAATTGATCCCTATTGAACCCGCACGCGAGCTCAAAGACGTTTTTATACGTATTTCGTATATAAATTATCAATGAAACGGTCGGTTGGTCATTGTTGATGATGTTCGTGTAAAAGATTTCATAAGAAAATAATAATAATGATAAAAAATAAATAATAGGTGTTTCACAAACCGCCCGGTAGATATATTCACCCATTTCAAATTCATCGTACCTGATAATAAAAGGACGTGATACCATTATAATATGTTATCTCCGTTTTACAAAACGTCATAGTAAATTTTCGTTTAGTGCTGTAATTTCGTACTGTTATTTTTGATATGATTGATGCGTTATCAAACTTAAACGTATAATAATACTATCTGCGTTTGAATATACGTCCGTTTTTGTTTGATATTTTAACTTTTTGATTCTAGTTTTTCTGTTTTCAAAGGTTTTACGTTTATCAGTATTCGAAATAGCAGGCTGTCATATGGTAACGTAGGTGGTAATTTAATAGTTAGTCGTCGAATTTTCGGATTGCATTTTGGTATTTTATCCATGATACTGTGTTGCACAATAATTCTGTCAACGTTTGTCACGAAATTCGTGATACTGTAAAAACAGTTTGACAAGAAACGACCGGTAGACATCTTCTTACAACTATAGTATATGAAATGTCACGCAAATTTCAAAAAAAATGCTTATTATATCAACAAAAATCCTACGTACAAATACAGATCAATTCGTTCTATATTAAAACCATAACGGTGAGAAATCAGTCCTGCTAAATATAAATTTGTTATGTCGTGCCCGTGTGTTTTCCTCGGGCGTAGACCGTTTAGCCGTTTGGGTGATTTATTCAAAAACGTGGTCTCTCTGGACTCGTATAGTTGTATCTTATTTGGGAAAGTGTTTATTACACTAAATCTATCATTTGGGCGAATAAGTACGGCTCGTACTATACATGTTTGAATAGTTTTATCGGTAAATTAATTCATACAGTGTATTATACATGTAGATTGTCAATAGGAAAAAAAAAGAGATGATATTGCTGGTATTCCCGTTTTTCTCAATTATCATGAAAATAATTACTTAAAAAATGAAAAAAAAAAAAAAAGAGTGACTTATTTTATCAGCAATTTAATTCAAAATTCAATCGAAAAAATCTCTCTTGACACTTTTTGATTGAAAAGTTACTCACAGGTATAAAAACACACATTATAGTAAAACCAATAGATTCCTCACTCCACTCCGAATATAATAAGCAACAATCCGCGAACGTGCCGTAATAGAGTTACCACGAGGATACGCACAAAGAAACAGTATAGTGACCATAGAAACTGGTTACCTATGCTTAGTTTTTAGAAATTTTTTGTTTTGTATTTTTTTTATATTTTTTTTTTTTTTTACCTATTTTTTCGTTCCGATACGAGCAAAGCCTTGCGGGACGTTTCGTCTGAAATATTTTAATAAACTATTGTCATATACCCTGCTGCACCATCGCGTACATTACCAGTTCACACTCCATCGTTATTGCGTCTCCCTCGGCTCTGTGTTACAATAATGTCCGGACACGTATCTAAAACAACGCGATAAGTCAACTCGGTCGTACAATATAACACCGTCGCTGCAGTCCATTAGAGCGTACATGACGTATCGGGATTAATTGGACCCATTACGGTCGATCTAGCCGTTTCCTGTGAGTACTCCGCACGGGCGAAGCGAAATTCATTTATTGTCTTCGGAGAGTGTCGACGACGGTTCAATAATAATAACATAATAATATTATAACCACACGCCGTGGTTCGCGGTGCGGTGTGTAATAATACGGTGCCGACGGATAAACGCGCCGGATGAACTAATTATTAGGAGGACGCTTAAGTTTTTATACTGCGCGCGTGTTCTATAAAGTTCGTAAGAAGGATGTGGCGAACGCGGGCGCGCCGAAGAGCGAGAAAGACGGACGACAACAATATTACCGTCGTGTCGAGAGACGGTCGGGAGATCGCGCGTGCAGCAAACGGATATTTTTTTTTATGAAACGTGTATGGACTTAATTTTAACTGCGATACTTTAACACCGAATTAAAAGCCTCGTATCGTGTTTCAACCGCGATCGTATTTTTATAATGTTTTACGACTTTATTATTGTTATAACAATACTAACCGTGTAATAACAACACGACAATATTTACGACCAATTGGTTCCTTTTTTTGTCGTCATTATCGTTATCGTTGTTGTTACTCTGGTAGATAGTCTATTTATACTGTTATATTGGTATTTTTAACTTTCGTAAACTCGATGGGTTTCGTCAATAAGCAGCCGAACCGAAATATTACAAAAAGTGCAATTATTTTTCATACAAGACATACGAAACCTTATACACGATATACACGACGTTTAAAGACAAATGTACATTTCTTATTTCGCGACAATAGTGGAAAACGATAAGTATCTGCATTTTCGAAGAAAAGTACTATCCTTTTCAGACTTACACATAATAATATAAACTTACAGAAAAATAAATCTCGCATAATAATTTATATTACGGGTCCTACAATATATTATTCCTCCATCCGTGTAGTATAGGGTTAGGGGGGTTTGTCACATTGTAAGTAAAGTTTTGAATTCGACTAGCCGTCGGTGTTATTAATCAATTAAAGAACGAACAGTGCGAACGCTACAGAGTCAGCGGTGTATAGCATACTTAAGTTATAAATTGTCAACCCACGCTTTAAATTTTAAAGAAAAGATTCGTACACGTTAAATGTCTTAAGTTTTTTACATTTAAGAAACAATATACAGTTGAATTACGCGTTTTTGTCTCGGTGTGTATTTTGTGTAATAGGTTTGTCGGAGACTTAACGAAATTAACGAAAACGCCTACGATAAAACAAAACGTTTCGTGTAATAATTATACCGCGACAAGTCAGTAATTATTATCAGTTAGTGGGTACTGCATGAACTACGGCCGTTCACTCGTTCGCTAAAGCATAATTTTTTCCGAAAATATTATTTCAGTTTATAATAATTATTTCGTATAACAACACTTAAAAACAACACTTGGCAGTCCTGTCGAGCGATATTATTTAATTGCATTTACGTTATTGTACGCATAAAAACACGTCTTATAGGTACTGCAGTTCAGGTAAACGCGTTTTGAAATGCAGAATCGCACCAAAATCAAATAGAAAATAATAAAACTATTAGTGCTGTCGACTTTCCCATTTTTCCTCTGTTTTTTTTTTTTTTTTTCGGTTATTCCTAATTATTATGAAAACTACACAAAATACCAAAAACGACTTTCTCACAAACTTCCAACCAGACAACAACATTTTCTTTTATAAAAGATGCCACACTTGAATTCAGGTATGTATAAGATGTCTGATTGAAAAAAAAAAATTGAAATATTCAAAATACTAAAATCGATAAATCTAGAACACCGTTAATTTGTCTGTTTGTCTTCAGTTTTGTCCAATTATTATGAAAACCGCTCGTGAAATAAAATTAATGACCACTCAAATGCGCCAATATTAGATTCAAAATGAAACAAGAAATGTTTATTGGCATTTTTCGTTCGGAGAAAGATTTCTGGTAGGTTGTTTACAGAAAGGAAAAAAACTTGATAGATATTTAAAAAAAAAAACAATCGGGCGAAAAATTGACATTTTTAAAAGTATAACGTGAATAAATCAGAACGGTTTTACTAACTGAAAAAGTATTTTCCGAGAAAACTAAAAAAAATTAAAAAAAAAAATTCCAACGGTGCGTAATGTCCCCAAACGGTCATCCGTCCAAGTACACCCGACGTTGCTGAGCTTCAGTGATCGGACGAAAACCGGTGTATTCAACGTAGTACGGCCGTTGGCAAAGATTTCGCAGCATTTAGCGTGTACTACACTAATGTAAACGATTCTACGAAATCTAAAACAGTGTAACGTTTCGTTGCTCACCGCCAAAAATAAATACATTTATCATTCGTTTTTACCATTATTTCGCATTGTATTTATTCATAAGTACACTAGTACCGGGGTGTATATAATACGCGTTACACGATCACAGCTAGAATGACTGTTAGACACGTGTATATGTACGTAAAAAAAAAAAAAAACATTCACCTAGACATCGGTCTGTTGTTAATTTTTTTTTTTTTAGCGACATTGTTATTCGTCGTCTCTCGCAAAAATAAAAACCGTCTCGTTCACCGGTGAAACCGAATTGAAACGCGCGGAACGTTTTGCAAAAACCGCGCGGTACGACCGGATCGGTAATGACCGCCGACGTCCGGCGACCGGCTGTATAAATTTCCGGGTCCCTCCGATTGACCGTTGATGTGGACAATGGACGTCGTCCGGGTCGCAACCGAATCGCAACGATAAGCGCGGCCGTTTTACGGCCTACGGTACCGCCGGGACGCGGCGCGCCGTCGTTATTGACTGTCGTCGTGCGTATATTACACAGTTATCGATCGGTTTTATTCCGCGGCGGCGGTCGATTACCTTTCCAAAAACGAAATAAACGCCGCCGCGCGGCCGGGGCTATAGGTCACCGACGACGGCGGTATCGTAACGGCGGCACGACGATAATACGGTTACGATATAATAATGTCGCGTCGCGCGCGGACAACTCGTTTTCCTCTCCGCGAAATCGGCGTGTGCGACAGTATCGCGAGTGGAGAAAAAAAAAAACGACCGTCCGGGGCGACAAATTACAAAAGCCGCCGTCGTGTTCGGAGACTCACAAACAGCGCGCTATAATAATATATTACTATCGCCGTCGTTTGTGCGGCTTTCTCCGCGGCAACGGTCCGAAGTAAATCGTTGTTACGCCGCGCGTAGTGCCTCCCGTCTGCGGTAATTGCGTTCAAAACGGAAACGATAACGACAGCGAAAACGTGATAAAAGGCCGATATTATGTAGTACGGCCGAATTCCGGGCTGCGCGCCGTTGTTTTCGGGGGGGGGTGGGAGGTGGAAGTCGGATGGGTGGATATTCGAAGAGCGATCTCCGTTCCGTACGTAACGGTATGCCGTTGTTGACCGAAAACGATTCTGAGCAGTGTACGATTTGTGTAGACGTATTTTGCGGTGTTTGAGCGAGGCGAGAAGCGGTTTTAATGGTTTTACCATATTATTATGTGTTTTTTTTTTTTTTTTTTTTCTGTTAGTAAACGATTTTTGTAAAAGAAATCCTGGTCCAATAAAAAAAAAAAAACCACGAGAAAGTTTTTTTTTTTTTTTGTAGAGTTTTGGATTTAACTGGTACCCTGAATCGGTCTTTTTTTTATTAATAACAGTTTCGTTGTTTTCGATTTTGTTTTGATAAGGTTAAAAATAACTGTAGACTTTTAATATTTTTAGATAATACTCATGTTAGCCTTTTCTACACGTGTTAGAATTTTTAAAATATTCTATTCGCGATCTTCGAGTTGTTTAGAGACGTTTGAAATTTTCGAGAGTTTTCAGTTTTTATTTGTATTTATGTTGATAAAATTGATTTTTGCCAAAATATTTGAAAGTTTAACATAAAGTTCATAATAAGTAATAGTATTAAAAAAAAAGTCGTGGTAAAGTAATAAAATAGTTCGTTTTTTTTTTTTTTTTTATATTTGTTATTCCGTTCCATTATTTTAATTATTCATATGTTTTATTATCCAGTATTCTTTCTTCTATCCAGGATCATCCTGTCCTCCATATAGATTCATATCTATTATCGTTCATCCCGTGGTACACTTCATCTTATTTGATACTGTTTACGTCCAAGAGATATATTTTAATAACTTTCACCAGCACCGACAGTCAAAAGCCTTTAGTTTACTTTTGTCCCCTTTCAGTATAATATTGTCTCTATAACTCTGCTGCTTATAATGAGCTACACACACGGTTCATTAAATATATTACGTGGACTAAAATGTTTAGACACTTATTCCATTTTCTAATCAAAGTAAAAAAAAATGGGGCTTTTAATTAAAAGTTTAAATTTTGATTTAAAATTTTTTTGAAAATATTGTAAACAAAACAACCATTAAATTGTTTTTGTACGTATTATTATAAAGTCGGAACCAATCAAATTTACTCAATATATCCCAGTGGATAATCGCGATAAAAAAAAAAAAAAAAATATATTACTCTGTTTATTTTTATCGATTATAATATTTATACTATGTACCGACTGTACTGGACCCAGTTGACAATAACTTTATTATATTGTTATGTTTCTCAGTAGCTTTGTTCGAATACGCGTTGGCATGCGGTCTCTGTATATCCCGCCGTGTTCTTGGAATGTTTTTTTTTTTTTTTTTTTTACGTTCGACCATGTTTATGGTCAATACACGATATGGGTATAGGTACTGTTGGTGTTAATTAAGTGATTTTTTTTTTCCTTTACCGTTGTGATATAGGTACCGCGCGACTTATAGAATAATGATTCTTAGTCATAAAAATTGCATAAAGTGTTAAAGCGTATGAAGTACGATAACAGAAATCTAATTGTATAATAGACATCTGATTTAAAATATTATTAGATAAAAACCAAATCGTCGTTTGAAAAGTTCAACATCCGATGTGCTATTTTTCACGGCTTTTCAGGAGTGTCTAAAAACTGGTTTATACGTAACTAATTTCATAGTAAGTTCATATTTAACACAAACTTGAAAAATTACACGAAATATGTATGAACAATTACTTATTATTTCCTTGCGGTGTATAGTTGAAAAACACCGAGTCGTACAAACCATTCTATAGATAGCAGATTTCTTGGTGATTACGATAAAGTATACACTAAACCGATAGTGGCGTGAACTTATATTAGTGGGTCTGGCGAAACTATTTGACTCACCCACCCATCAATCCATTTACTGATGACAGACTCAAATTCTGTCTCTTTCATATAAAAAAGTAATTTACTCGTATTATATTATATAGGTGTTGTTATTATTAAATAAATCGGTTTTTACAAAACCAATTAATCATAAGCTAACTGACTCTACTTCAAGTACCTATACTTCCTGTTTAGTTATCCAACGCCCACCTATCCGACCTAGACACCCACTCATCTATTTAAAAAAATCTACGAGTCTTTAGATTCAAAGAACTACCCTTGCATTGCTATTGCACTTAAAGATTCCACTAGAAATTTTAATTAAGAAAGTACTGTAAACTCAATTTTGCCAAAACACGAGGTATCGAATGATGCATATTAAGCGATTATTTATGTAATAATGATGTTAATACATAATTAGGTATTATTATGCTATAGGCACTCCGTGTTAAATAAAAAGACAACCTTGAGTCTCTGAAACCTCGGAACTCGATAAATGAATTCTAAATTATTGCCACGCACAGCCTTACTCCAACGAATAATTAACGCTGAGCAGTAACTAGTTACAAAGTTACTAAAATCAATAACTTTGTAACTTGTAAGTTACTCTTAGTTTTCTTGTAACTTGTAACTTAACGAGTTACTTTTTTAGTATGAACCAAAAAAATTACGAGTTAGTTTTAAATGTTTTCATCATTTTGTCTCCGATGTTTTGCAACTCGGAATTTTTTTTTTCAAGTATCTACGAATATTTTTATATTAAAAAAATACAAAACTGAAAATAATAAAATTTGAAAATTTTCCCGTTTTTCTTACGTTTTTTCCAGGTTTTCCCCATTTATTTTGAAAACCCCTTTGAAAACCAAAATATGTCATTTTTAAAGTACTACCCCAGTTAAATTTTCTTTCAGAATACTACAATTGAAAATCGGATCAAAATTTATGGTAAAAACGTTGTTCACAAATAAAAAAAAATTAAAAATCATTATAAAACCAATACATTCCTCGCTCCGCTCAGAATCGGAATCTGGAATTGAATTTGTTTGCTTTATTTTTATGTTACTTTAGTGACACGAATGAAAAACAGGCTGACATTGCTGATAGGTGTGTCTAGTGACGTACATTTTTCATGAATATTTTCAAACTTACATCTCTAGGCGTGTTACTTTTTAAGAAGGGAACGGTAATATAAAATAATATTATGTCTGTACTTAACGGTAAAACCATTACTCACAAAAAACGAACCTTAGCAGAGTATTATTAATCGTATTTTTGTCCATGTTGCCCAGTTATCAAGAAATCCCCAAAAAATTATACAACATATTGCTAGTTTTTCCCATTTATCAAAACAATTACAAGGCAAATTAAAAAATTACATCTTAGATGCGCTAATAAGATCGAAAAATCTGCTGCAAGAAACTTTCTTTTCAATTTTTGGTTCGAACAAGATTTCTAGTATAAATATTTTACACACACATCCCAGTAAAAGTAAACATACCTTCGCTCAGACAGAATCTAAAATAGTCGACTGTAATTGTAAGTTGTGTATAGTATCTAAGTGTATTATTAATTTTTTTATCGACTGTAATTTTTAGCGTTTTATAATTTTTACTATATTACATAGGCTTTATTATAGTACCTACAGAGATACATATAATATGTACCTATACGGCTATATCTATATATCTGAAGTCAATAACGTGAAAAAAACATTTTAAAAAATGGCAATCCTTGTCCCCGAGGAATAGTGTAGCCGGGGTAATCAATCATCCGTTTTTATCCATCGTTGACGTAGAACACGGAGTGACATTTCGATATGGGACTCAGAACATGTATCGTTTTATACTATAGTCTCGCGGAATTGTTATTTGTTATTTGATTTACTATTCATTCTTTTAGTTTTTCCGGTTAATTATTACTATCGCGTTTATTTTATTATTATTTTTTATGACCGCATATAATTTTTTTTTTCTAACTCTTGTTGTGTAGTAAAGAAACTAACTATACTAATGATTTGTTTTTCTTACCAGTCAGTAGATTTAATAATTTCG